AAGTACTATATAAACACTGTTCCTTGATAGCATAGTGTGACATGAATACAAAGAAATGATTTTATAAGAAACATCATCGTGTATCTCATTTAAATTCGATTAAGATAAGTAACTGGGAACTAAATTAGCACCATCATTAGAACAGGCTTTGTGATTTCCTTGAATCACATAGCTAATGTCTTTTGAGACCCTCAAAGTACTGTGACAAAGAATCAATTGGGATAAAGCAAATTGATTGCTGCCCAGTTGCCATCAAACATTGGCCAACTGTTCAAAGTGCCATGGTACAGGTCAAGGGAGGAACTATTTTCTTGATGATGTCTTAAACCTAACGGGTGATGAGTTCATTTATTAGATAGCAAAGAAATACTTTTAAAAAATATGAAAGAATAAAAACTCATGATTACTACTTCATTCTCCTTTACACAAAATTATAAAGGAAATTCTCGGGAAATAACCTATAGATGAATGCAAGAGGATAAAAATTACCTTTGAAATTGTAGCAGTCATTACTGAATAGTGCCAGAGGAAATGCACAGGGATCACTTATCAAAGTGATATAAGCCAGGAAAAGTGAGTTGAGTTAATTTCAGTTTGAGGGAGCAGGAACAAGTTTAGATCTATAAATTTTTTATGAAGCAATTTTGTTACACCTGATTTGTATGTAAGTCATGGAAACTGAACTGAGTTTTCTTTCCTATGAAAGCTGGAGGCAAATTTGGCTTAAAGCCTAGAAGAACAGAGTGCTAGAGTGTTCTTTCAGATCTCTCTCTAGAAAGTTGCTTCTGTGTATGTGCTATAGAAACATCATCTTTCTTCTATTATTCTCAGTGGCTAAATGACAAGGGTTATTTATTTATTTATTTTTAGCAGTAATGCTGAATAATTCAAGTTACTTCTGAACTTTGTAATGCCATTTCTGCCAAACATACCTAAATCCACTGAGATTTGTCATTAAGAGTTAAGGATTAAGCTATTAAACTACAAATCATCCATCCCTCAATTCTAATCACTGAGATATTAATAATATATGTGAAAACTGCCTTTTTATATTTGCAGCTCTGAGAGCTTAGCTTACATAGATTTTTATTTTGTGTCTTTTGCAACACCCCCATCACCACCAACAGTAAGAATAGTAACATTTCTGAGCAACTGATACCATTTTTGTTTCTAAAGAGGAAAAAAAAGTGGCACTCATTAGAATTAAAACTGCTAGTTTTAAATTCATGTAGTTTTGGTTCCTACTGTATCAATGGCATTGCTGGCCACAAAGCCTCCAACCATATCGGTAATTGTCCAATGATAAAACCAAACGACATCAAAGCATATTTACGATTTGCTATTTTGTATGTTTTAATTAAGAAGGCAAGGGTAATTGAAGAGCAACAGAAAAAAAGAAATGTAATACTGTTAGGCCTTGTTGGTATAATATTGTTAAGAAAAGCAAGAAATGTGCGTGTTGGAATTTTGTTTTTATTGGATTTCCTAGTGTCTTCAAACATTCCCAGGATTGGTTGGCTGGGCCAGCCCTCCTGAATACATTGATGTCATCACCATAATTTGTGGCACAATTATGACTAAAAAACAGCAGAATTACACTAATTAAAAAAAATGTTTTTGATACAGCAGGGAGAGGGGCAGAAGGCGAAGGAAAGAGCATCTTAAGCAGGCTCCACACCCAGTGGGGGGGCTGATGTGGGCTGGATCTCATGAACTATGAGATCATGACTTGAGTCAGAATCAAGTCAGACACTTAAGAAACTGAGCCACCAAGGTGCCCCTAGAATTACAATAAATAAAGCTCCAAGGGGCGCTTGGGTAGCTCAGTTGGTTAAGGGTCCGACTCTTGATTTCAGATCAGGTCATGATCTCATGGTTGTGAGATTGAGGCCCATGACGTGCCCACTGGGCGTGGAGCCTGCTTAAGATTCTCTCTCTCCCTCGCCCTCTGCTTCTCTCTCTCAAAAAACAAAACAAAACAAAACTCCAAGAATCAATACCCTAATTCTATTTCTCTAAGACACATATAAAATATAAAGTGGGTTTATATCTTTTATACAACAGAAGAAGGCAGCTTGATATTTTATAAATTGGCCGGGAAAAAAACAATTTGTTTCTGAAATAGTATCATGGATAATCCAGAAAGTGATTTACTAAACTTTGAAATTTCATTTCATTTCATTTCATTTCATTTCATTTCATTTCATTTCAT